TTAAGTAAAGTACAGATACATGAAGATTGAACTTAAGTACAATAACGAAGTACTTGTACTTCGTTACTTCCCACCACTGGCGCCTGATCTGGTTAATGTGGGCCACATGAGTTCATTACGAGGCGACATGAAGGAGGAGGACAGCCACCTCAGGCCTCCAACTCACTGGTATTTAAGAACGCTGTGGTTTGTCCTACACAGACAAGATTAGTTAGCCCTGAAGCAAACTGAAGGTAAAAGCCACAGCGGCATGACTCAAAGTACCAGAAACGTCTCTTTATGTTTTTAAAGCTTGGACGTCTCGGTTCATCTCTCTCTCTGTCTTACTGTTTATTCAATGTCACATGCTGTTTTTATTTTGTTTTTAATTATGTAAAGCACCTTGAAATGCCTTGATGCTGAAATGTGCTATACAAATAAAATTTGATTGATTGATTAATTTGGTGTGTGTCAGTAGACTCAGTTGAAACTCACCACTGGTTTTGCTGGTTTGCTTTGACGTTTTGTTCTCTGGAAAAGAACAGACAAAAACATCATCAGGTATCTAGTGTTATGCATTTTTGGGAATCAGTGCTTTACAGAAATGCTGAACTGCACAATGAATTAGGTCAAAACTGGGTTAATTGCGCCACCAATCTGAGCAAATGAGGGTTGGGTCAAGATCTTATGTCAAAACAAGTTGAATTAGCCATTCATGAATGAATGAATGAAGGGGAAGTGGAACTGGAAATAAATGCTCTCACTGTACACAGGATTGCACGCTCTGCCTCCTGTTAATTCTGCACACAAGTCTGTGCTGTGTCAGTCCATTACCAAATATCCTGTGCATTGGTGGGTCTTGAACATAAACAACCTGCAGGGTGGAAACCCTTCACAGGGAAAATATTATACAACCTATACGAGATGTAAATTACTCCTTTATTTACCAAGTCTGGGCGTGTTCCAGAAAGTTGCATAAAAATTTAAATATATCCTTACCTGGAATTGGAAATTCCTCCTTAGATGCGTCTTAAAATCCCCCGATAATCCTTCTTGTACGCAGTAATAAACGCAAAGGAGGAAACATTGAATCCTCAAAACCTTCATGCTTGCAACGATTCAACCTTTAGATTAAAATCGAAGAAAAACGTCCGGTGATCTCACGTTGGGCGCATTTTACACAAGCTACAAGCGGGAGTAATTTTAGCTCCGATCCATGTGAGAGCGCCCTAACAATGAGACCTGATCAAGAGTTACACCTGCGATAGGTGAGAGCAAAAGAAAAGCGGGTACAGTTCAGACTTCAGAGGGAGGTTTGCGCCAGTCCTGATGCGCGGTTTGCGCACAGCTCGGGTTCACACATGCTGCCACCGAGGTCGGAGAGAAATGAGGGGTGACTGGCACCCGGCTCCAAGGTTTGGATGAAAACGCCTCCATCTCCTCCCCTTCCACTGCTGGTTTGAAAAACCTAAATAAATAAATCCGTGCAGCAGCGGTTGAGATCTATTGAAGTTTGTGAATGTATTTTCTCACCTCACATTTAGTCAGATAAATAAATATCTGGCTCTGATAGTTTCTGTCCAGTAGGTTCCCAAAACGCACCAACTCAACCCTCCTACTGACCCAACATGGATTAACTGCCAGAGAGAATGGAATGTAAAAAGTTTTATCTCCATTTGTATTCAGCGAAAATCCTCATGAGAACGCCCTTCATTGTCACGTTATTTAAAAACCCAATACGCCGAATTTAGACAATTCTGTGAATTACTGTAATGTCACATTAATGTTTAAATGTTTGAAAGATCATTTTCCTCAGAGGCTTCGCAAACCCACGGCGTATCCAGGTCATTGTAGATAAAAAAAAGATTTAGATCTAGAAAAAAAAACATTTCTGAGTTTCAAAAGTTGAAAAAATGCAAGGAAAAAAAACCAAGAAGTAGCGGTGATGAGGTGAATGAGAACGATGAGAACGCAGGCAGACCCAGGTTGTGATGATTATGAAAAATTTTAATGAACAGCTCGGCAGTCCAGTAAACAGGCAGCACGGCAGAGAACAAACCGAGCGCTGAACACCGGTAGCAACAGAGTTAAGACTGATAATGAGAGCTGACGCCGACACGGGACTTAACCATTTCTACTGTGACTGACAGACTATGGCCCGACAAGAGACAGAGACAGCAGCTGGACTTAAATACACACGGGGTAATCAAGGGAACGAGACACACCTGGGAACAATCAGGGACTGACAGGACAACACAGGGACTCACAAGAAGCCAAAAATAAACACACAATGAAAACCCAAATCATCACAAAGACATTTTCTAGAAAAAAAAAGCGTTGACAGTTTTATTTTCCAAACTCAAAAATTGTCGACTTTTTTTCTAGGAAATTTGTGAGACTAAATTAAAAAAAAAAAAAAAAAATTAAACGTTTTTTTGTTGCAGTTTAGATTTTTGTCCTTTTTCTTGAATTTTTGTTTAGATTGATTTCTAAATTTGGGGAGAAGTTTTGGAGTTTAGAAATTTCCTGGGGTTTTTTCTGGTTTTAATTTCCATTTTTTTTTCCGAGTCTTGGAACTCAGAAATGTCCTTGTTTTTGTTTGTTTTAATAAAATAAAAATAAAAACTGTCTGGCCCCGATTCACCGTCATAGCTTCAGTTACAGCCATGATAGCAAGAATGGTGTCAAACGGTTATTCTCCAGAAAGATGAACATCCTAAACAAAACAATACATGTGTCATGCATGAACCAGTCAAAGTCCAGATGTAAATCTTATAATCAACACACAAAAAACACACATATAAATTATATTGAAGTTTTTGGCTTTAATGTGACAAAATCTAAACCATTTCAGAACCCGAGTACTTCTCCAGGTTACTGAATGTTTACATAAAATTCTTCATTCCATTTATTTACTGTATATATTTATGTATAACTGTATGTTTTGATGTTATTTATTCAGAGAGAAGTTAAAGTAAACAAAAAATGTCCTGTTTGTTGGGAGCTGTCTGTGGTGCTGATTCCTAATCCGGTTTTCATCATCTGAAGAGGATCTGCATGAAGCGTTTAACCTCCACACACACAGGGCATTTTTACACCATTCAATCGGTAACTTGTTTGTGATGCGTTCAACATAATCAGAAACCTCAACCACACACAGAAAACAGTAACTATCCACAGTTGCAGGGTTTTTTGTTCTTCTCCAGTATTGTAACAGAAGCCCATTTGAGTCTGGATTAACGCTTTCCATCTCCTCCAGTTCTTCTGTGTTGATCCATTTCTCTTCTGTTTACCATCAGACAACATTGCGACCTATTACTATAGTCCATTTCTCCCAGATCTGATTTTAGTTGTGGTCAGGAACTGTCTGAAGAGCTTCCTCTGTCTTTCTGCTGACGCTCACATTCTGCAAGCAAAGAGAAACAAAAATTAAATTTCTACTGGCTGCTACTAGTATTTCCCAAGCATGACAGGGCCACCACTGTGCTGGAAACTGGATAGAAATACCTTTTGCTCATTGAAACCAGATTTTTAAAACTAAGGATACATAAGAGGTTTTTCTCAAAATACAAAGAAGTTCACATATAAACCTTGAAATAAATGTAGATTTATAAATGTTACATTTTCTTATGTTGCAGAGAAGTTATAAAGTTGGAAAAATGCTCCTCTAAAATTATTCTCTAACTAAAATAATAATACTCCAAAGCTGTATTTTCAATATTGATGTGACTTTCGGTTGTGTTTCTGTTTAAATTACTTTGTAATTATTTTACACAGGAAAACTCTTATGTGTGACAAAGTTTGTGTGAAAACTTCATTTTTTATTCCCATGAATGCAAAAAAAAAGTCAGGGTTTTCAGGGTGGATCTGTCTGGTTCTCTTTTAGAGTCTTTGTGTTGATCTTTGGTTCTTTTAGCTTAAAATGTTTTAAAAGTCTGGAAGATTATTCATAATTTAGACTTAACTTGTGTTAATTGTGAATAAAACTAATACCAAACATGTAGCTTGAGCTTGAAAACCTGGTGGATATTATTTAGAGAGAAAACCCTCATGAGAAGGCTTCGGAGTAATCCTCTATAATTTTTTTATTCTCCTTTAAAGTTATGAGGTATAAATTACCAAAAAATCCCTCAAAATCAATAGAAATTATTGCTTTATCAATAGTCTTATCCTTGGTCAGATTGCATTTATGTTCAAACCACCTTAAACCTGATCTTTTTCTGGTACATTTTTTACTTTTTTAGCTGAGAATTTTCCTGTGTTATTCTGTTATTCCTGTAAAATTTGATTATTGTCATGTTTGGTTGTCTTTTTTTCAAAATCATATTTCCTGTTCGGTCACTCTCCCTGAGGGTGCTGTAGTTCTCCTTCTGGACACTAGATGTCCTCAGTTACCAACATTTTTCCATCTTCCTGTTTCACTTTCACTCACTATTTCTCTCAAAATATATTCTTAGAGGTGATCTATTATGCTTCCTTTATCAAGTTGGGATAGGTTTACAATATATTCATTACATTTTTAGCATAAATCATTATTTTAGTCTGAACAATTCTTTCTGTTTTGAGTTCCTTTCTTTTTCAATCTAAATATGTTGCTTCTGCACCTAAATGTTGACACTCACACATGTAAACATACACAATTACACAACCGTACATCTTTGAAAAGTAAAAGTGGAGCCTCCTGCACAACCAACAAGAATGCAGGAAGTAGTTTCTAAATGTTAAGTCAACAACAAAACATTTGTCTTTTCCAGGTGCCATTGTAAAATGGCAGTAAAACCAGCTGAACAAATGTGCTGGAACTCAGCTTGGGTTGCTAGGTAATGGGCTGGAGTTGCTAGGTAACAGGAAGTTCCTGCTGATTTGTGAAGTTACATTCCAGATGTTTTTGAAACGGTTAATTTCTAAACATAAAAAACCCCCACCATTATCAAAAACGTATCTGGGTGTGTTTTTAATCACTTGGGCTGTTTTTAAGAAGCAGTAGAAACCCAAATGGAAGTACAAAAACATGCAAAATGTGAATTATTTAAATAATATGTCCCCATATTAAAAATTTCTCTCTGCAAATTTTTCAGAGAGAAAATATTTGCCTGTGGATCTTACCGCTGGCCTATCTCTGTGTGTGTTGACAGCTTCAATATTGAGAAAAAATGACTCAACTTTACAACCTGGCAGGAAAGACAAAAACAAAAGTGTCAAGAAGACATTCAGAGATCAGCTATTAAAGAAACATAATGTATTGCTTACCGTAAGCTACCGGAGTGAGTTTGAACACCGTGTGAAGGGGACACCTAACATAAGGCAGCTTGTCTTCACAGGTGATTAGAAACAATGTTTTAGCATTTAGAGCTGAACATTTTGTGGTGATAATATGAAGGAAGGTGAATCAGTCCATCTCTTTCAGTACCTGCAGATTTGTCTAGAAAGTAGGACAGCAGGCAGCGCATGATGGCTTGGTGGCAGATAACCAGGACGTTTTCCTGCCTCTCCAGCTCCATGATGACCGGCTCCAGACGATGAACTAGATCCTCATAGGACTTTTTCATAAAGACAAATCAAACTAATATTAGCTTTGATTCCAAAACTTTAAACTGCATGTTTTTCTGTGGCCCTCCAGTTTCAAGAATGACAAATAAAAGAACCTTAAAGATTACAGTTGGGTGTTTAAATATCATTTTATCGTTCAATAAAAGCTATTTTTACCTGTAATTTTATCAATGTAGAAACTGAAAACAAACTGCAGCTGTAATATTTACAAATACTGGTGCTAACATTCTATTAAAATGTTTTTAACACTTTCCATAATATTCTACCTGTAAAGTAGGTAAATATATATGCTTAAAAACACAGCTTATTATAATATTTTATGATAAAATACAAATTTCTCTTACTTGAATGATTCTACATAAATAGTGTTTTTACTTGAGGTACTTATATTTTATTATTACTGTTAAATTTACCTTGCCTGTTAGTCTAGTTGGAATAAAAGTAACTAAAAAGTTAATTCCAGCATAAGTAAGTTTGCAAACCCAAAAGTTAGAAGTGATAGATCATTAAATAGAAAAATAAAATTAAGAAAAAGTTGTCGTCTAATGAAAGCAGCTCTTACCTCGCCCTTTGGGTAACGGTAACGATATTTCTCCTGGTCTCTCATCGCAAACTCATCAGGAAAGTTCTCCTGAATCTCCTCGTATGTTAGTTCCTCACACACACCCTTAGAAAGAACAGGAATAAAGTGTTAATTTAAACTGAGAGTCTAAAACTGTTTTTATAGAAAACATAATACGAACAAGCTTAGGACAAAACCATTTATGCTTGTAAAAGTGTTTTAACCGCACAGCATCGATCTCATTGAGAGCTTTCCACTGTTCGTACTGGACGCCCAGAGCCTCTGCAGTCTGGATGGTCCGCTTCATGTGGCTCGTCCAAACCTTCAGGTCCTTGATGTTCTGACCTCTGATGAACTTCGCCAAGGCTTCAGCATACTGCAGGAACAAAGGTCGCAAAGATACATTTTTATGTTGTTATTCAGAATGTAAAATACATTTTTCAGAATTTCCTTAATTGTTAAGCACCACAGGGTTTTCTAAAGCTTCTTTTTGAAATAAAATACCCAAATCTAATTGAGTTTTTCTCAGCAATTACAATTTCTATTTCAATAATCTTGGTATCAAAATAAAGTTAACACTTGGGAGACTCCATCGGAAGTGTAAGAATCCCTGCTACAGTTTCAGAGAAATTGAGGACTGAATCCAAGTAATTTCGGTCTAGTTTCTAGCGTAAATATCATAGCACCATTGAAATGCTAAGTTAAAAGCAACTGTTCATCAAGATTTAAAGATATAATTCCTTAATATTTACTTTAATTGACTTATTCCATTGGTATAACTTATATAACTTATAACATGGGACAAATGTCTTGTTATAAGTTATATAATCTGCCAATGTTAAAGAATTATTGACTTAAAAAGCTCCTACATATTGATGAAAAGTTACTTGTAAGT